GTGGGACAGAGAGGCTGAGTGGACTGGTTGGTTATATCTTGTTTTTAGAATGAATAGGAAGATAAGTTGAACCAAGGGGAGATTGATTGATTGAGTCTTCGTGGTGTTTAAGACTCCCAGAAAGCCGTTCAAACAGGTGAGTAGCCTACAATAACAAACACTCTTATTGTTGTAACTCACTGTACGGATGAAATAAAACATTTAACACAGTTACATTTACTCAGAGCACATTTTAATTGACTAACTTTTCACATTTTTGACATGCCCTTTTACTTTTTCTTTTAAAATAATGTTTTACAGTAACAGGACTTTTACTGAAGTTTAATAGTCAAGTACTCTTTCCATCACTGCATAGATCTACATCTCTCTTCACCCTTAAACATCTTCAATGTCAGCTAAGAAGTGAAATTATAGACACAAATGTACCTACGACTTGTGTCGACAAAGATCTTTTTAGAGGACATTGCTGGAGGATTCCTTATAAAACACAGAGTGATTTTTTGGCAACTTGCTGCCAGATGTTTGAATAGGCATGTCAATCAACATCCACACCCACAGTGTGTTGGGAAGAAAATCCACACAACCCACCTGTATATGAGCACAGCAGAAAACTTCATCTCCTGTTGTTTACAGATACTGAATATGATTATGAAATGGTAAATACCAAACATATGAGTCACACCAGGTTTATAAAATGACTTGTGAATCCCTGTGATGCCTGAGTTTTGGTCCTGACTCAGTCAAGCGTCACATGAAGTCAGCTGCTTTCATGTTTTACTGGTCATACAAATTACAGGTATAACCAGTGGTTAGTGCCAGGCAGTTTCTAATAAAGCTGCCAGTAATATTGACTTGTATTTTTCATGAGAATGCCCCAGAGCAAATTAATTAAAGAGGGTTAGCTTAATGCACATGTGTGGGTAAGATGGCATTTCATCTGTTAAGGTGCTGTAAAAACTAAAGACACAAAAACATCAAAACAAACAGTGACATTTGTGTCCTTGCCTTAAAAGTGTACATACCAGCGGGGGAATTTAAGACAAGTAATGCACAGTGCACAGTGTTACACTTTCATAATAAATCAAGCACAAAATCGCAATAGCTGCAACCACGGAGCACATGCATTCATGCATCGCCCACTTTTGTCAGTCGGGTTAATCATCTGTCCTTTGGCTCATGACTGATCTTTCCACAATATCTTGGGCAAGTCTGAGTCCATTCGGAAGTTATCCAGCTTTTTGCCATTGGCCACTCCCATTGCTGACCCCACTTTAGCCAACTGGCATTAACAAAAAACACACCTTCTCACATACACACACACTTGACCTCTATGCCAAATTTCAGTCTCCTAGAGCAAAAACTCTGGCTGCCAAAGGGTGGGGAAATTTTTGTGGACCAACCAACCAACCTATCGACCAACTTACAGAGCAAACTACAGAACTGCTGGCTGCAGATAATAAATTTTCTTGACTTGAAAACATACATTCTGTGTGTGCATCAAAGGGTCTGAAGAGTACAGGCAGCAGGCAGCAGGCAGGTAAGAATTTTAACACTATACCTGTAAGACAGATTACTGTGAGACTGGAAAACCCTGAACATGAAGTACGTGTTTTGTGTGTTGCAGCTACAAGAATATAAAAGAGGAATTCTTTGTCAATGTGTCTTAAAGACTAAGATATTTTCAGGAGAACCAGTTCTGTACCGGGTCATATAATAACAGATGTCTTTCAGTGAAGACAGAGACAGAAGTCATAGAAGTCATAAACTGTCAGAAGACATTTAAATTACAATGCTAAGTCGAACATATTTTCTATCTTCTTTTATGGTTTGTTGTAACTTTTCTCTAAAGTGCCTGTAATTGTCACAATTTAATTTGATGAACAAAACAAACTCCACACTCCTTTAATAGTATTTTCATATTTGACACAAATTAAAGAGTTAAAATTGACTTTTTCTCAGACTTTTGTGGAAACCTGAAGTATCTCAGCTTTTAATATTAAGGCTCAAGAAATGTTTTTTTTTTGCTAATGATATGACATTCATTTAACACTTGGAAAGTTCCTATTGAGAAAGAAGAGCCTTCTGTTATATGTGTGTTGAATGTATGTTTTAAAACCAAAGCAACATTATTATAAATAACCATTAATAAAAGAAAGGAAAGATAATAATGAGCAAAACTGATCAAAATAATAAACATATCAGTTGTAAGTGTGACTGAAAAGCATCAAGATGTGTTGTTTCCATGAATGCAGAGCAGCTGATCTGTTTAAGCTCAGTTTTTGCTGTGGGAACATGAAGCTGAAGCACACACACTGTAAAGCAGGGGTTTCAGACTCACTCTAGTTCATGTGTCACATGCAGCCCATTTTGATCTCAAGTGGGCCGGACCAGTAAAACCACTGCATAACAACCTAAACATAACAACACCTCAGTTTTTTTCCCCTTTCTTTAAGTGTAAAGAAGTACATTCTGAAAACACTCATCCATTCTACAGATAATAAACAACTTGAGCCTGTCGTAAGAAAAATATTTGCAATTTCAACAATACGTCTCAGTTGTCCCACATTCAGTCGGCCTACCTCTCAAGATCATTACATGTGCATTCCTCCTTACATTTACACTCCTGTGCAGTAATGCTGGCATCAACACAAAACTAAAGCTGAAACTATTGAGGAAGCAGGTTAAGTTATCTCCTGTCTTACAAACCATTCATAAATCAAATGTTTTGTCAGTGCCTTAGCAATAGAGTGCCATCTATATAGTATAAAGATAGAAGTCTAATGCAGCTGCCAAAACCCCGTTTCCACCAACTACTTTCGGTATGGTACCTTTGGAACCAAAAGTAACCCTTCAGACATGGCACTTAGACCCCAGCGTTTCCATCGCAAACAGTACCCTTAAATGTGGGCGGGGTTGTTGTCACTCACTGCTCCGTCCAGCACTCACCGTATTTCCTCATTATCTGTGACACAAATGTCAGTCTGCACCTCGTTTATCATCCACAGAAAGAGGTTGCACACCGACATTTTCAGAACAAAATTGGCTGCAGTGAGAGTCTCTCTCAATTAGATATTTAAAAATAGCGGGTCTGTGCATTTAGTCCTTCTCAGGCAAGCTCAGGGATTTATTGTTACCGGAGCCCACAGGAACAACTTTCTTTTCTTCACATGAGGATTGGGATATATGCCGTCCCGGTTGAGATTAACATATATATAAACACTTGAAGATCCACTCATTGCTAAAAATGTATGTCATATAAAAACTAAAGGAATGGTCAAAGTTGTCACAGTGAAATTTAAGGTGTGCTGATGGATTCACATCATCACCTCATGCATTTAGCAACATTACAAGTAAACCATAAAAGTTGCCAGCAGTAAGCCCAGGGAATGAAGTTATTTTTTTCTCAGTCTACAGCTGCTGCAAGAGGCAGCAAAACATCCTTTCATCTTATAGTTACAGCCTACTGATAAAACTTTTCATGGTATGAACAGTGGTTGCATAAGCTTCAAAACCAGCTACAAGTCGGCCCTAAACAGGGTGACCGTCCGCTACTGACCAATCAGTGGACTGCAGTGTTCACAGCTCCACCTTTTAGTACTAGATCTGTGTGCTAGGTACCCCAACAGAGGGGGGACCAAAATGGAGATGGTACGGAACAGTTCCATTGGTGCCATCCACAACTTTTCACAGTGGAAACAGAAAAAAAGCATACTGAACTGAACCATACTGTACCGTACTGCTTGGTGTAAATGCGGCTTGAGTGACAATATTTTGCACAATGGTCAATATCTTTAAACATGACCATAATAAGTATTCATTGTTCTTTCAGGGAATTGTATGCTGGTCAGGGTGGAAAAGCCTGGAGTAGAAATTTAGATATGATATTAACTGTTAAACCTTAGTTCACAAGTGCATCAATATTGGGTGTGCAAAGTCATCAGTGGGCCAGATTAGACCCTTTGCCAGCTGGTTCTGGTCCACGGGTTGTATATTTTATACCCTTGCTGTATGCTTGTATGTCATAGTCTCACTTCATACATCTACAGGTTCCATTAAGAGTGACAATTTTGGTAAATTATAGTGTTAGACAGTTACACATGGCACAGAATAAACACAATGAAATATAGACATGATGAGGGGCTCATGTTAAAAACAATATAATTCAGTATCCTGAAGGTGGCAAACACAAATTGGAGAGGATATTGCACAGTAAACTGGATCAAAGTCAGAATCAGAATCAGAATGCCTTTTACTGTCACTATACACATGTACAATGAGAGTAAAAGCAGCTCCTACCCAGTGCAGACATGTATGTAAAATATAAAAATAAGATATAAAAATTAATAAATAGTGCAAAAAAGAAGGGGGGTGGTAAGGTGCACAGTTCAGCGGCGCTATATATATACATATTTATAAAAAGAATAAATAAGGATTTTGTATACAGTATGGGTATGGGTTATTGCACATATTGAATATTGCACAGTATAAGTGATCAAAGCAGTGAGTGGCCAATATTGGACCATGAGAGTACTGATATTGCACAGTATACAGATATTGCCTAGTATTAAACTCACATTCAAAACGAAATATTGCACAGTGAGGTGTGGGATTCATCCCTGAACAAAGTTATCATCATAACTTAATATTACTGCAGTGTGGTGTTCTGCATAGACTACTGGTTGATTCACTTCTGTAAAACAAACAACTGTAAAAGCATAAAAAAAAAAACGTATTTTCAGAAAAAAGTAAAAAGCATATTTGCTTAAATAGTTTCAGGAAGGTGTTTTTATAGTTTGTTCTACATGTCTGTATGCATCAGCTAGATCAAGTGTTCAACCCCGAGGCTTTACTGTAACCTTTCAAATTGTACAGCAGGGAGCAGACACACCTTTGAGAAACATGCATGCATGTGACAGTTGAAGTTATAAAAGCATCCGAGGGGAGGGCGGAGGAGGAGGAGGGGGCTGCACATCCAGAACTGGTTGTAGGTGTGGCAGGAGGAGGGTGAGACTAGCACACGTGTGTCTTTGCCATAAATTATTTAATGTTCATCGGTTTATTCTGTTCAAACCACAGGCTGGCGCACACTGTGGCTTCCCTGCACTCATGGCTCGGCTCTCCCTTGCAGAAGTGGGCCTGCTGCTTCTGTTAGTGCTGGCCTTGGTGAGTATTCACCCTGAAGCTACTTATAACTTTGGCTTTGACACATCAGGGCATGCTGCAGGCCATGCTAAAACATGTTGTTTCAGCAAAGTGATTTGTTCTTCAAGTGGACTAGATTGCAGTTCATTAATGACAGATAATGACACGCTGCTTTAATTGTTTTTAAAGGGCATGCAAGGGCTGTAAATCATGCACGTCAGAGAACATTTACAGCACTCAAATACTCCTAAAAAATAAAATGCTGCATCTCTGAATAATGTATTTGTAAACTGAAACAGTGGACAGTTTTATTATTATTATTTATCATCTCCGTCTGTGCTGAAACTACAGTGTGCGATGATCAGAGATGAATGCAGAGCTGCACGATTACTTCATGTCCACTTGTTTTATATCGGCTGCCTTAATGAGGCATGCTGCTATTCTGAGACATGTCTCAACAATAATGTGCTGGAAAGATTAAGAAATGTAGTCTGTCTGTCTGGCTTATAAAACCTACTGTAATACAGTGTTACATCTTGGGATGTACTGAACAGAGTTTAGCATCTATTTGTGTTCAAATACTTCATGCAAAATTCACAACAGTCACAGTAAAGTAAGATATCAAAATACTGGTTGGTGGTGTAAGAATAAAGTCTTCAGAAAAGTATCAGAAAGTGTGGGTACAGCGTGTACTCAACTTTTGTTGGTGGGCTTTTGAGCTAATACAGTGTCCTTTCATGCAGTCATAGCAGAACATCATGTTTTTTATTTTGCCCTTCAGAAAGAGATGCATGATGATGATGATGATTTAATTTAATTTCATCATTATTATTATTATTATTATTATTATTATTATTATTATTATTACATCTTTTTGAATAGACTGAGCCTCAGAGCAAGTTGTGTCCTCTCAGCGACCATGCTTGCACACGGCATGCTGTGTTTGACACACAAGCATGCATCATGATTGGGTGTGACAACCAAAAGTAAATATAAAAGGAATTATTCTTTATCCAGATTGTTTTTTGTTTTGTTTTGTTTTGTTTTGTTTTACATTCTTTTCTTTTCTTTTTTGTTTTGTCTTGTCTTTTGTTTTGTTTTGTTTTAAACTGATTAAAGGTGAACTTTTCTGAAGGGCGTTCATATATATTGAAACCTCATAACACTGAAATTTCTGCTGACTTTTTAAGGCTATTGGCTTTTCAGATTTGTGGCACACTTGATCCAACTCAGAAGTTGATATGATTTGCTGTCTCTCATTTAGACTTGCTAGAGTCTCTTGTTAAGCTATTTTGGGTATTTTTGAAAGACACAATTCATTATGACAAATCATTATGTCAGAATTTCTGCAAAATTCTCAATGAAACTGACAGTTCCGTTCTGTTTTCTCAGCTAGAGGTCAAAGTCACTCTCTTATTATTAATCTAAAGATTTTCATTACATTTATCAACAAGCTATTTTAATGCACCTGCGGGAAGACGTTTAGTGAAATAATTACTATGTTTAAAGGGATGGAAATTGAAGCAATATTTAGTTTTTCTTTCATGACAGTGACAAAAGATTTACAACAACCATAAACATAAAGATACAAGTCTTTCAGGTTAAACGTGCCAGCAAATTTAAATACGCCATCCCATTTCAACAGTGAACAACTTGAACGTAAATAACCTCTCACGTGCCTTGAAGTTTGAGGATGAGAAGTCTAACACAGGTGTGAAAACTGTACATTAAATAACGTATGAAGTAGGCAGCCTGCTGTCCAGTATTCAGACATCTACTATTTAGGATATTTTTAAAAAGAGCATTTGTTTCCTCAGTGGGGGCCCTCTGCACTGGGGGCTGTGATTGGCCCTGGCTGCGTTGGCGCTGCCTCGTGGGTTGCTTCGACTGGGTTTGGGGGGGGGGGCTGCACTCTGCCTTCTTGGCGGTGGTGTGGGCCCCTCTATCTGCCCATGTTGAGGTGGACTCCGTGTTGGTGTCCTGGTGGCCACGGTCTGTGATCAGTTCCCGGTGCAGACGGCTCCCTGCGGTATTGTTTCCTCACCTGGTTGCTCTGCACTCTGCCACATGTTTTTATGTCTACATCATGACTGTGTTTGTGGGTGGGTGGGTGTGTGTGTGGGGGTGTGGGTGGCTGGGGGGTGGATAGGAGGGGCATTTCTTCTAATCATGTAAAGCACTTTGTGCCACATTTTTTGTATGAAAAGTGCTTTATAAATCAAGATTGATTGATTGATTGATGTAGAGAAAATATTTTCCGTGGAAAACAAAATCATCAGGTGCACTTGGTAAATAGTCTTTTTAGTCTGCTGGTGTTGTTTGAGTGTTAGAGACAGCATTGTTCTTGAAATGCTATTAACCGGTATTTAAAAATTGGAAAAATGGTCAAACAGTGATCTAAAATAGGAATTTATTTTGGATAATTTCTAATGTTGTTTTAAAATCTCCGTATAACTCATCAGACAAAATGTGGACACTAAAACAAATAGGATAAACTGATAAAACAGTCAGCAACGTCTAACCTCATGCAGCTCTATTCTTTCATAATTCAGTGACTGAAATGTGACTGAGGTAAACAAATCAATGTAGATGTTTTAAACAAACAAAAAAGCAATTCTGAGAAGAACAAATACTCAGCAGACATTTGGACTTGTCATAGAAGCACGCAGAAGATGTGCATGTCATTTTATTATTTAAACTAGTGATTTTCCTACTGTCACATGTCAACATGTCTGCTGTGAAAAAGGCCTATACCCCACACCCTTCATGAATGCTTATTCATTTCTTATCTGATTCCAAAAAAACTTTATGCATTACAGTTCTATTATCACAGTTTTCACCTAAAATCTTTTCTGTGTAGATGTGTGACCCTGCAAATGACTTCAACTAACTCTGTTCAGAAAGTACCAACATAGAAATACCTGTAGTTCATTTGGCTAACTTTGTGTGGTTGTCCTGTTCAGAGTTTCTCCACGTAAAGAGGTTCACATGCTACTTGGTATTATGGGTGGGAATGCACAAGTCAAGCTTCCACACTACCAGTTACATCCACATCCCCATCACCCCACCCATGCAGTGTTAAATGAAGTAGCTAATAGAGCATTTGCTGCAAGGCTAAGCACATTGTGCTGGCCTATTATCCACTATCCACTGATTGCACCAATTTACTGCTGTCAAACATCAGAGAGGTGTTGAACATGACAGCACCAACAGCTCCAGCAACAACAGCCACAGCTTCCAACATGATGCCAGTCTCTTGGTGATATCAGCAGACCTGCTGTCTGCCACACACACACACACACACACACACACACACACACGCACGCACAGTCACCACTCCATGCTGGCACAGGTGCATTGTTCATCTTCAAACGGTGTGAACAGGTGCCACATGCCAAACATTATTCACATTCAGTGCTGGCGTGCTCCCTGCTCATGTTCAGGAGCTGAGCCACACCTCAGACTCACCTCGTTCTCTCTTCCCACACACACTCTTCAGCAAGATCACGCAAACTTCCATGTACACTCATGATCATTCTCTGTAATGTGTGCTATTTTTGAGCCACTAATACTGTACATAATGTTTTTATAATAACTGGACCAGTGTTAGTCTATATACATCATGTGATTTCTAATATTAACTGTGAAATAAGAAATTTAAGTATATAAATACCAAAGTGTCATATCGACACTGTTGCAAATAGTCTATATACTTTAGCATAATAGCACCAATGCTTTCTACTTGTCTGTTCTTTTATAGTTCAAATACAGTGTATCTTCATACGACAGTTCGTATTTTTTCATTTATACGAAGTAGCACCCGCAAATGCATTTACGTCTACATGGAAAGTAATGTAATTAACATAAAGTCACAGAGGTTTAGAAAAAGAAATATGGTGGTGACATACCTCAAAATTACTTCAAGTTGACATGATTCTGAATACCAGTCTCTTGGGGAAAGTCCCATGTTTATTGACCACTTCTTTCTTTACTCCTGTCAACATATTGGCAACATGATCGCAGCCTTCCAAGTTACGTGGGTTACAAATAAATTACTGGCTCATGATTACTTGAAACATGTAGGAATTTTGGTGTATTACTTTTCATAGGAAAACATATAAACAGTGCATGAGGACAGCATGATCAGTAACACCACAGCATGCATTACAATCCATAGGATTATTTTGTCAGTTAACTCGAATTCACTAATATTGATATAAAGGGGTTTGTTTTGTCTTTCAAGGAGCTACTAGTTTAGTTTCCCCTCTAGGAGTATGTAAATGTCTTGCAGAGACAAGGCTGGCATTTGGTCCATAAAGTATACTCAGAGTACCTAAACCATACAGCAGTGCACACTGTTCTCCTCTGCAGTCTCCATCAAGGCAAACTCAAGTGTATGTCTGCTGTTTGCTCTTAGGTGCTCAGTGCTGAAGCAAGTGAGAAGAGGCTGAAGACACTTAGAAGGAAGAAGAGAGAGTGGGTCCTTCCTCCTGCCAAGATGAAGGAGAACCAAGACTACACTCAAAAGCCATTCATTGCCAAGGTAATTTCCCACAATGAATTAGTATTTAGTGGCACCATAATTTGTCAAGTAACCTGGCTAAGTGCCAGGATAGATAAGTTTCCAAGTTTTGAAAACACACCAAACAAAAAACTGGTTTCTGTTATGCTATTTGCTGATCTGCCAAAAAAAATCCTGCAGTGAATAAACCTGTTTCCACTTGTTGTTTGAGTCAGTTCCAGTCCTCTGCTGTACCACTATACATAAACTGGCCCTGGGCTAATGGCTGATATACAGTATACTCCAAGAGAAGCATTGTTTTAACTGTGTGAAAGTGCCAAACAAAACTCATTTTAGACTGTTAACAACCAGCTCATTGTTTGTTTGTTCTTCACCTGACCCGATACAAAGCGGGGTAGAGCTGAACAAAGTGTACCATGAACATCCATTTTGTCAGAGTTAAAGGTCTGAGTGTGAGACATTTTAAATGTAATCTAGGTATTTAAATGTAATAGAGCTTTTTCACTAGCACTTTTGGCAGCACCAAATCAAACCATGCTGCATTGGTTTGTGTTCCCATTATCAGTTTAAATGTGTTGAGTTGCACCCGAGATAGATCACCTCCAGAGTTAGGTCAAAGCACGCTTGACCACCTCCAAGCAGGTTACTGTGACAGATACAGATAGGCTTTGTCATCATTCAGGGATAATTCATGCATGTTGGCACCTTGACATGTTTCTGTGGAAAGTTCCGCCTTCCTCACTTGGTGGTGGTTGTGATGTGTCTTTATCTGTCAAGTCAGATCAGCCAATTCTGAGGAAGGCGAAACTTTCCGCCGAAACATGTCAAGGTATGTAACATCCCAACACATGTCTGAGATCAAAGAACAACTAAAGTTATCGTTAACTCAAGACAAGAAGTCATCAGTTAAAGACACACCACCGTTGTTGCAATACGCGTTTGAAACAGTGAGGCGCTAGAGTGTGCTATCCGTTTGAATGCAATATACAATCTCAACACTAGATGGGAGAAATTCCTACACAGTGCCCGTTTAATATACCAGAATGAAATTAAGGTTTAGCCCTCAGACCCATTATCTCATAATCTGTCCCTAAATTTATGTGGGGCAATGTTCCACCTTAATGTTATTGAGAGCCAAAGTCAAGACATCACATCCAGGTGAGCTGAGAAGATCAAAACCAGCTCTGGTTAGCTTGGTTTAGCAACAGGTTATAATGGATTCTTGTAATGTGTGCTGTTGCAAATGGCTGAAGAGGTTCTTATGGTGCCATTCAACATTAACCATGATACATTAAAACATGTAACTTTAACCTAACACTAAAATAGCAATAATCATAACAGTGTTTACAAGTCCTGGAATTATCTGTCTGTTTTGCTGTCAGATCCGCTCTGATAAAGACACAAGTGAAAGGGTGGAGTATTTTCTCTCTGGACCAGGAGCTGACAAACCACCCTTCAACCTCTTTGTGGTGGACCATGAAACTGGGTTTGTACGAATTACTGGTCTCCTGGACCGGGAGAAAAAAGCATTCTACAATGTAAGTCTTTCTTGGAATAACTTCCAGGCCTTGTACTGTACTGCATGGAATGAAATCTGTTGTTAATGTGTTCTGCCTTGGGTATCCAAACCAAGCATGGGTTTAAACTGTCCAGTGAGAGGGTCTAGGTAGAGCTCTGTGACAAAATGTTGCTGCACACTGAGAAAACAGTTGTATTTCGTAGTCATACGGTGTTTCGACTGATTTAAAGTTTGTTATAACTGTTTTGTTGTTTATAACTGACTTCAAGCCTCACACTGTATGCTATATGATGTTTGGCAACAGGTAAATTCCATTGTTATAATGCTTACTCACGTGAGTCAGTCACTTTACAACACTCCAGTCCAAGATGTTTTCTCAAAAGCCCTTTTAGGCTTTTAGGTTTTTGAAATACTTTCAGCTTTGTGTCATTCAGATAATAATATGGTATATGGAATTGCACTTGTATAGTTTCTTTCTTGTCTTCCAACCTCTCAAAGCACTTTTACACCACATGCTACTCAATATTCAAACATTCACACGCAACCACTGAACCACGCATTCACTGAACCTTACATTGCTCCTGATGTCCACAGCCATTCTGTGTGGGATGTGGCTAAAAGTTTAGGTATAAATCAAATAAGGGGACATTGAAAAAGTCAATAGTAAACCATCTGAGCTTGTCCCATCTCTTCATGTAATCCATGCAGCTAACAGGAAAGGCTAGATACATGGATGGGAATAAAGCAGAGGAAGACATACCACTGACTGTCATAGTCCTGGACGAGAATGACAATGCTCCTTATTTTGAGCTGCATACCGGCAATGTCACAGAGTCAAGCAAAAAAGGTATGGCCAAATTTTGTCTACATTAGCCTGCCAAATAAGTGATGGGTACAATCACAGTTTAGCTACATTAAACTCAAAATGTGTTTGTTACCAGTTGTAACAGCATCAGGTCAGCTGGTGTGTGTGTGCGTGTGTGTGTGTGTGTGTGTGTGTGTGTGCTGAGAAGCTGATTTGAGTGCTTTGCCAAGTGTTCTGTGTCTGTCTGTGAAATCATGCAGTCAGGAAACTTCACAGGTGTGTAGTTGAGATCAAAATGAGGGCCAGGTTCGAAGGTGGGTGTGGTTCAAAGAAGGGTGCCAGAAGTAGAGGGGTAGAATGAAGGGTGAGAGACATTAGTCATGAATATTTAATCTAGTAAAAAAATAAGGGGGATAGTCACACCACTGTCAGGCCAGCCTTCACATTTTGGCAAAAAATAAGTTATGGGTCATCTAAATTTTAGCTGATCAAATTGCCGCCATGGACAAGGTTGCATTTGGAAATGAACATATAAACTATTAACTGCTCAACTCCTCATGTATGATCCCATTTAAATGCATGCAAGACTCACACAACATTCATAATACATGAGTTTTATCAGCTCCAAACACAGTCTGGATGTACTGTATGTGGTTACTCACTGTGAACAGGCCCTTTGAGCTTTGATGACTTCTACTGAGATGGTTCTGTACTGTTGTGGTCCACTGCAGGATCCTTTGTTATGCAGATCGTGGGGAAAGATGATGACCAAGAGGGAACAATTAATTCAGAGATCTCCTACAAAATTATCAGTCAGGTGCCAGAGGGTCCAGCTCGCATGTTTGATCTTGACAGCAAAACAGGCAAACTATACGTCAAAGATGCCAGGCTGGACAGAGAGGTGAGGCTGCCGCTCACTGCACATTAAACACAGGCCACATATGCTGCAGTCTTTTTGTTCTTCATAAAATATTTTTTCAGAGCCATCTGACAAGGGAGATGAAAGACAGATAATTCGTCTTGAATTCTCCCAGTCATTCAGTTTGATGGTTAGTAAACTCTGCTCTCCCACCATTTGAACCATTGACAGCATCCAACTTATAGGAAAACTGAGTCAACCCACTCCCTTAATTTATGGTCTCCTCCATTAGACGACAGTCAGCTATCAGCTAATCACGCAACTAAAATTGTGGCATGATAAGAAAACTTACAACAGAGTAAAATTTTCTCTGAAATTCAACATTAAGGTAGAATCAATGACAGTTTTACAATAGCACTATTTTGCCCTGAGCGACTTTCTCACCCTGTAAAGATACTGTTGTTGAACTTAAGTGACTTTTGGCAACACCCACATAATACAATCACATTTCATCCAATAACAGAAGGATGTATTTTTTTTTTTTTCTCCAACAGACTTGTGACTACTACAAACTGGTTGTACAGGGGACTGATTTGGGAGGGGCAGTAGGGGGGCTGACAGGGACAGGAACTGTGGAGATCAAGGTGCTGGACATCAATGATAATAAACCCATTCTGGAAAAATCTGAGGTGAGGCATATGGCATATCCAGTACACACGGGAAATGGATGACAGGAGAAAGTGTGATATCATGTGCAATATAAATCAACATAAATCAACCCTGTTTTTCCCTTTATTCCCTTTTCTAATTTTTCATTAGCTCTTGTTAGTTTCTGGGTGTGTGGTACATCAAAAGAGCACCAGGGTGTTTGTTTAATAGACTCTTTGCACAGGTGGAACTACTAACATTGACCATGACTCTGTTCTATTATCAATAATGGGTCCTAGAAATGGACCACCTTAATGGCATGTAGTCATCACTTAGCTATACTATCAGTTGCACTTTATTTGCTATGACGAGTCAAAATGTCTGCTATGAATAAGGTTTATTCAGACAGAATCATAAGAGAGTTATCAACTGTGAAAGCTGGAATTCGAAAAATGTGCGCACTGTCTATTATCCAGTCATCTGCATAGATATGTTTATTTCAATTTCAATACCTTTCCTTAACCTTTGTTTCACTTCTGCCATGATGTTTCCTTTCCCTGTTTCAAACTGCTACCACATTCACGCTGGGCATGTCCAAGTCTGTGTCATGTCCTCTTCCTGTTGTCCATGCTAAAAAGTTCCCACCAAAGCAGGGCTCATGTATGCACTAATAGACTACTCAATGTGGACAGGAGGGCCCTCCCAAAGCCAGCTGATGGGCAGCTTTGCCCTTCAAGGAGCAGAATAAGCTAAAATAAAGGGATACAATTAAATAAATTATATTATATAAAAAAGAAACACAGGATAAAAAATTGAGCATTTTATATGCAAAAATAAATATATATTCAAAAATATAAATAAATATATACAGAAATAAATGAACAAATAATTGTGAAAATGAATAAAATTCTTATCATTTTCATTTTATATTTTGTTATTTGTCTTTATATTTCCATATTTAGAGTCAATTTGTCTTTGTATTTCCCCATTTTTTTAATTAACTCACACACACTCACGCACACAAAGACAGTGTCAAGGTTGGAAAAATACCCAACTGTCAGAACGCTGCTTGTGCTGGCTGTTGGAGCTTAATTAAGATAAAGGCCCTAAAGTTATTTTAATAACTTTGTAGCAAAACAAAGTCAGCAGGCTTTTATGTGGCGTACACACCTTTTCACTGCAGCGTACTTGAAAAGATTCTGTCTCAGTTTATAATGGGAGCATCATGTCATCTTACATTGGTGCCACCACTGTTTTTTCCCCACCCCACTTCAAAGTGTTTGCTAAATGATTGTTGAAATCACTTTTTTTAATTAACAGTAAAACATATATTCTAATACATGTTTCTTTCTGTGATTCAATGTGTGTTGCTGTGAAACCAACAAGTTTGGACTAGAACCTTTCAGCATGAACTGATGTGAAAAGAGCGATATCTCCATGTGGAACTGCTTCAAATATTTGAGAATGAAAGTTTTAACTGGGAATAACATATATATCAAAAATCAAACCTCAAAGGTCCATTAGGCTGTCTGAGCTTTCAACTGCCTCTCAAGGTCATTGTTCAGCAAATGAGGCTGTGGGTTACACATGGGGAGAGATCATAACCAATATCTGGCCTCCTTAAACTTTCTCCCCCTGCCTCCTGGTCGATGGTGTCTTCAGAGTGAATGCTGTTGATGGTTTTGGTTAGGTGTTTAGAGACCGCTGATGTCATCTGTTTCTAGTGTTGAGTTGTGCACAGAAAAGACCAGAACTGACACAAACTCAGAAGTGGCCTAAAGACTTTAATATTTTAGCAAATGAACAGTTTTCACTACAGACTACATGTTTTGAATCATGTTCTGTTTGCAGCACACGGGCTCAGTGGATGAAAATGTTGCTGATGTAATCGTGATGAGAATCAAAGCTCTGGACGCAGACCTTGAACCCACAGACAACTGGAAGACTGTCTTTAAAATTGTCAAAGGAAATGAGGATAATCTCTTCACCATTGAGACAGATGAAAAAACCAATGAAGGCATCCTTAAGTTGATCAAGGTATTTATGTGACTCTAAATATTATATTTTCTTATAATCTTTTTAATTTACTGTAACTTTTGTTGGGTCCCTCACATTTGTTTACCACTTACTATCTCTTATTGTCTTCTTACTGTCCAAACAGCCTTTGGATTTTGAAGAAGTCCAGAAACTTGCGCTTGGCCTGTCCATTGAGAATGTAGCTCCTTTTGTGGAGGGTGGTGCTGTGGAGATGGATGTGGACGTCCAAGTTGGAGAGGGTGGTCCTGTGGCTACCGGTGCTGGAGCTGGTGCTGATGCAGGGGTAGACATAGGAGTAAATTTGGATACAGGTGTAGGCGTGGGCGGAGATGCTGGAGCTGAAACAGGGGTAGGGTTAGGGTTGGATACAGGACTTACGCCTGGAGTCGGGGTTGGAACTACTAAACCAGGAACAAAACCAAAGCAAGATGCACCTGAAAAAACCTATGCCATTCTGATATCAGTGAATAATATGCCAGAGGGTCCAGCGTTCAGACCTGACACCAAGATTGTTCCTGTATCAGAAGATCCAAATGAATTACCTAAGGATGGTGTGCTCACATCGTTCCCTGCTATCGATCCAGACACAGGAAAACAAGCTGAAGACGTCAGGTCAGTCAAGCTGCAGTTAATAGAAAAGCAGTCTACAGCCAAGCTAGGAGCAGTGAAGCTGCTCTTAGGCACTGATAGTTGACGTACTGATGTTTGTAATGTTGACCATGTTCACCATCTCAGTTTAGCATGCTATGCTAACATTTATTGACTAGCACTAAACAAAAAGTACAGCTGAGGCTGGTGGGAATGTCCTTTGGTGTGCAGGTGTTACAAAGGTATATATTTGGGTTTAAACCAAAGTATTGGATACACTGACATTTTGACCTGATGATGATAGTGATGATGATGATGATGATGATGACCCACTAGCACAGACGGTATAAAAGAAGTAGACGTAGCGACACAGTGACATCGCTCATTGGTTTATTGACTATCATTCTGAAGCCTCAAGTTTGGCATTGTGGCAGTCACCATCTTGGTTTTCCGGAACCAAAGGTGACCATATTTGGACAAGAGGGTACAGCTGACTGCCACATTGTCAGTGATGCATTGCAACACCTCTATTCTGATTGACAGGTTGCCATGGTAGCCACACCCCAATGCATACCCTGCGTTGTTGTCTTAGTGTAATTGGGACCATAATTTACAAAATGAACATTGTACTGTATTAAAGAAGACTTGAAACTAGTGATTGAGCCTATAAACTCATGATGTAGGATCATTTTTCATTCAGACACCTTCTTCCAACTAGTGGAGTCACCCCTGGTGGCCATTAGAAAGAATGCAGGTTAAAGGCACTTCCAAATGGCTAAACATTTCAGAGCCAGAGGCTACATCCACTTCTTATGTTTTTAAGACATTTCACTCAAAACTATGGCAATTCAGGGGTTCACCAGAGTTAGAGAGAGAAAAATGTCTCAACCAAATTGCATGACACTTTATTTAATAGTTGCTAAGATATGTTGGTGTGGACCAAAGTGTTTAACCAACCTTCTGATGTTGCCATACCTAGAGTTATGCCAGCGGTGTGGCAAAAATGGAAACAATGAAATATTGAAAGGAAAAGTTCAACAATTTGGAAAATATGTTTATTTTTTGAGTTGTGCTTTGAGTTAGATAAAACGGTCAATATCACTCTCTGTCTGTCTACTAAGTGTGTAGCTTTCACAACAGCTGGATTCTCACAACATAATGAGATCAAACAAAAATCCATCTTTTCAGGCCTCAAGTAATGCGTTGCTGTTTGATCCACTCAGGCTCGGATTAATTAGCATCTTATAAGGAACTACTGGCAGTTACAGGCGTGGTGTAGGTGTGAGTGATGACACAAGAGGCAACTGTTTCTTCAGAATACCACAACAGCGGCTCCTAAACGGGTTAGCGTAGATGCTACGATATAGGCCTACCAGTTATATCAGAGCTGGAGAGTATTTCTTCATTGTAAGAGGAGCCAAAAATGGCACTGAGGGTGGTTTCTCAATGGAAAAGATGCTTTCGTTCTTCCCCGAGCTGGCTGGTGATAGACAGATGGTTCATCCGCCTTCAATCACCTGCCACATATTTTTTGAAAGTGCCTGCCCTTTTCGTGAACAGTTTCCATTGAAGGCTTCTCAGATGGTTCCGTGTAACAAATCATTTTGGGTGTCAGGTTACTAAATATGTACTTTGAGCCAGGAAGTGGATAGCTTAGGGTAGACAGTGGCAAGAGGGAAATAACTATATTTTTGGTAGGTGTATTTTTTAACTTTGGATGGAGGCAGACGAGCTGTTTCGCCCTGCTTCCAGTCTTAATGTGATGTTCAGCCAATCATTTCTTGGCTTAGGCTACAAACTTAGACATGAGAGTCTCACTTAACTTTTTTCACCAAATGTTGAACTGTTACTTTAACCAAATCACTACTGCAATTAAAAAGGTTTTGTTCCCTTTCTTGCATATTTGTTACCCTCCAGTTATGCCAAAGCCCACGATCCTGACAACTGGTTTACCATCGATGAAGAAACAGCTGAGATTAAACTCAACAAGGCACCAGATAGAGAGTCACCATTCTTGGTGAATGGCACCTACATTGCCAAGATTCTGGCCATAACCAAAGGTAATCCCCTTCATGCTTTATAAGCCTGTAAGATTATAATCAACGAGAAGGCTTCATTTCAGGCGTCTTGATACATTCTGTTTTAGCCTGCTCTGCCCTCCCTACAGAAAGACTCTCTAATTAATTCAACATTCACCTTTACTGAAATGATTTATCAACTATATGTTTATGAGTTGGATGAGCAGTTCATAAAGTAAAGTGTAGTTGCTAGAGGTAATTTAATAAATTAAGCACAAAGATCTTTGACAGAACCTGTCAAACCACTTTGTGACTCAAGGTGTGTCAGCCATAGGATAAGGAGAAGGCCAGGGGCCAAATGACTTACACCTGCTGCCAGTTGATCAGACCTCCATAAAAACACTGATATCAAAAACTATAATACAACTGCAATAACTATATAACTGCAATATAATTTTGGCTGTCATATGTATTTGCTTCATTATTGTACTGTGCAGGTAGTTTCAACAGTTTTTGAATGTAAGCTCAAGACTTATATTAGAATCATTCATTTTGTGTAAAGCTACAGCAAGAAATGGATGTTCACTACTGGCCTGACCTTTATGCTACAGAATGGTTAATGGTGTTGTGTCCTTGCAGTCTGTGTGCTCACTGACTTTCTAACTGCTGTCATCCTCAGACATGCCATCAAAGACAGTCACGGGAACAATAGCCATTCAAGTCAATGACTTCAATGACCACTGTCCCAGCCTGACCACCTCCCGCAGCAGTCTGTGCTCTGATTCAAAAACTGTGTATGTTACTGGCATCGATGAGGATGTTAGTCCCAATGCTGCTCCATTTAAATTCACAATCATCCCTGATGGGACACGAGGCAAATGGGACGTAGAAATCATCAATGGTGAGAAATGTGGTTCTTAGATACTATTCGCTTTCTTTCTAGTTGTGATTGTTTTGATCAGTTCCTTTTTAGCAAGAGCTTGCCAAAGTGTAATTGATCAAGGTATATAATGGAAATTATTCAGTGAAGTGCTGTAAAACTCAAGTACACCATGATAAGGTGTAAAGCTAAAAATAGTGTAGCCATTTTCTAATTCAGATATTCAAATTCAGAGGAATATTTTCTTAAGTACAATTATGTCCATGCCTTAAATCAGAGTCTAAATAAGAAGATTTGTGAATGTCCAGAATTTAAAGAACAAATGAGGGATATTTGGCCCTGATTTTTAATTGTGTTGTATTGTTTTAAGATCCGGTGTGTGGGATATGCATTGGCAGAAATAGAACATAATATAATAAGTATGTTTTCTTTAGTGTATAATTGCCTGAAAATAAGAATCATTGTGTTTTTGTTACCTAAGGATGAACCATTTATATCTGCCTCTTCTTCAGAGATTGGCATGTTGCACCTCAATGTTTCTACGGCAGCCCAGAACAGACAAACCAAACACTGGCTGTAGATAGGGCCATTCACGTTTTCGCCTCCACCACCATAGTTACGAGAGCATTGGAAAAACACTGATTTTTTTTTTTTTCATATGAAACTGTTTTATTTGGTGTTTTTACCAGTTTTAATCATCAGGGCTATTTGTTTGTAGGTTTTTTTTAATTAAGATAAGATTAACTTTATTGTCCCACGTGGGGGAAATTTGTCTTGGGCTGTAAGAGGTGACCGTTACTGCTCACATGAAGACTTGACGAGAACACATAGCTTACATAAGGTCTGAGTTTTTTCTACAAAACTCAATTTAGCTTAAAACCTGACACACAAATCTAAAATAAAAACTACAATCTATCTGATGTGCCTGTAATGGTAGCACAAATTAGTAGATATATTAGTATTGCAATAGTATCAATAGTATAATAATATAGTATAACTAGCAGTAGTATTACAGTACTACTCGTGTTACTACTAAAGCCATGATAGTAATAATGACAATACAGTGTGAGTTTGACAGTCCTCTTTCCTTTATTGTCTCTAGAGACGAGTGCTGCTCTTCACTCTCACGAGATGCTGTGGCCCGGCGAATATAAGCTTCAGGTGGAAGTGACGGATGCTAAGGGTCTGTCTTGCTCGGCCAGTGAACCTTTTACTGTGGAAGTTTGTGACTGTGTGGAAAGAGAGGGCTGCGGTGCAAGGACAGCCAAACGAGGAGCTCCTTCATCTGAGCTCTCTGCCTCAGCCATCGGCTTGCTGCTAATGGCATTGTGCTTGCTGCTGCGTGAGTTGAGCTTTAACAAACTTTCTAGTACACATTATTACCACATCATCCACATCATTACTACCACTATGTTTTTAACTGATTAATTTCTAAGATGTAGCTGCTGACCAACTCAAACATTGCTTAGGTGATACTGCATATCCAATATGCTGTGAATATCATAGACATCTTTGCATCGGGCAAGTAATAACAGGTGTTCAGTGGAAGAGGCAACAAAGAGGCTAGATACTTTAACTTAATAAACATTCATGACAGTTTTGATTGAATTCAGCAAAGCATTATTCCATTTGTGCATAATGTTTAAACATAGTGCTAGTTAGCTAAACTATTGTGTACTGCATTACAGCATTACTTAGAAAAGCGACTGACATCATGATTTACACATATGAGGAAGATAGAACATCAGTGATAGTGTTGTATTGAACTGAATTATGTTAAAATCATGCTTCTAATAACTATGGCTTCAAAAAAAGCCGTAGCATTGAGTAATCACTTCACTGACGCAACGTAAATTTAATACTAAAAGTTTCTCAAAAGTTGGATTTATTCTCGGCACTGTTGTATAAAATCACATTGCTAATATTTAATATTGATATTGCTCTTAATATTTTGCTTCTCTCCGCAGTCATTCCTCTTCTCCTGCTGTTCTGTCAGTGCGGAGGAGCAGACACCATCTTTCCTGACCAATTCAGTGATATACCATTTGACGCCAAAGAACACCTCATATCTTATCACACTGAAGGAAGAGGCGAGGATAAGGTTGGTCAATATTTTTGTCTCCCTTTTACAGGAAGAAAAAAATAAGTTATTTTAGTTTACCAAAAGACAGAACCAGATATTATGCTATTATTACTGAAAATAATATTATTATTGAGAAACTAAAGCGCAACATAGAGGGGAAAGGTGGTAGAAGTCCGTATGGTGGGTCACTGGGAAATCATAAGGGCTACTCATGTCGCCAGTCATTTAAATTGGGTCCACATAAGGACAAAAAGGAAGATTCAATCTGTCTAAACCCATTCTAAAAAGTGCTTTGTCATTTTGTTTTTAATTGGACACCACTCACTGATTTTAGAGTCAAAGCCATACAAAAATGTGTTGAGAGGTAACATTTTAATTCTTTCATTCTTTTTTTAGGAAGTTCCGCTCCAAAGTGTCCCTATCATGATGGGTACCCAAAAGAAGGTTGAGGCTGCTGCAGCAGCAGCAAACTTCAACTCCGCTGCTTCTAAAATCACAGAGACTCATCAGACCAGTGCATTCTATGATGAGTCTGTGCAGTGGCTTCAGGACACCGGACAAAGTTTGATGGAGGTGGACAATGTCTATGGGTTTTCAGGGAAATCGTTCAACAACAGCAGTGTTGTGTATGGCAGGCCAAAACTTGGTATCCAACGCTCGACAACAGCTCTGTATGACAATATAGCCTTACCTGATGCTTTCCTCAATGCGTACTACTCGCAGGTACTGTGTTAGCTTTGCATGCAACTGTTTTTTCCACTAGATCTTTTACATACACATGCTCAGAGTTTTTGACACCAGTGTTTGTGCTATTTCTTTGCCCTAAACAGAAAGCAGATTGTGTTGTGCCAGTGAAGGACAGTCTTTTGGATTATGGCTTTGAGGGCCAGGGCTCCCCTACTGGCTCAGTGGGCTGCTGCAGCCTCTTGGAGTCTGACAACGACCTGCAGTTCCTCAATGACCTTGGATCAAAGTTCAAGACCCTGGCTGAGATCTGTTCCCCTCCTACACCAACACCGAAACCCTCCCTGACACACAAAGTAACAGGTGGTGTCAAAGCCTCAGTTGATATTGTTGAACCAGTTGTGAGGCCCAAAATTGAGCACAATGTTGAGACAAAGCATACCGATATAAAGACAGAGAAAGTCATGTCGTCTACTAACATCTCCAAATCATCTGTCAGTACCGTGAGCACTGCCCCGCAATCCATGACACTTCCTCGCACTAACGTTACTAACATCAGTCAGTCTTCTAACATCAGTCATTCCTCTAACATCAGTCATTCTGCTACTCTGCCCCGTCAAGCTCAGACAGTCATACTACAGCGGCAGCCAGTTTACTACAGCACCAGCCCTGTTCTACAGCCTATGCACTATGTAGTTCAACCACAGCTTCAGAATACCGTACTGCTGGCTAATGGGGCCCAGGGAGTAAATGTACCAGGCTTTTATGTTGTCAGTGGGCCCCAGAATCCTTCTTCTGAACTCGTAATCAGTGGATCCCCACGCTCTCCTTCTGGGCTAGTTATTCAGGGCACTGGAAGCCCCAAAAGCCCTGCCAGCCCCGCCAGTCCAGTAAGCCCCACCCTGTTGCTACCTGGTAGCCCAGGTGTGTCTCAGGGCACAGTCCCTGGGAAGGGCTGGAAAATGGTAGGGCCAAATCCTGATGGTAGTTACATGTTAGTTATGGATAAAAGCAGTCCAGGTGAGGCAGAGGGGGTGGACCCAGGCTCATCTCAGGGCACTTTGCCCAGAGGTGCTATCCTGGTAAAAGAGGCTGCTCCCCCTCAGGGGGCGTTAGGCCCAGCAGCCCAGGGCAGTGTGTATGGCATTCTGCCAGGACACACTGTTGTTAAAAATGGGGGTGTTGTTGCAGTTAACAACAATTTGGGGCAAACATGGGTTAGGCAGCCAGGGCAGATGGGGTTAAGGCCAGTCAATATTTTGGGAGTTGGTGCTGGGCAGCTGAGAATGAGACATGTGGTGACAGCAAAGCCAGAAGGCAGACATACTGGAATATGGCCACCTGGGATTAATTCAATTGGGATTAGGCAGATCAGTGTAAACCAGTCCCAAGGAATACCACCTATGGAGCAAACAAGGGATCCCAGTGGTATTCCAAAAGGATATAGAATAGAATCACCAAAGGAGGACAAGACAACTAGTGTTGTAAATACCGTCATTACCACAGACATAATTACTGCTGAAGCTGTTAAAACTAATCAATCTCCAAAGGAAGAGGTTATGACAAAAAAACTGTTTATGGATGACAGTGATCCAACTCAGAACACGCATACTGATACAGTTGAAGAACAGCAAGATGTGATCAGTAAAGCATCAGAGCACGACCCAGCACTAAATGATGAGGAGCCAAGTGAGGTGGTCCAAGAGTATCAAACACAAACATCAGAAAAATCTTCAATTGCAAATCTTGAAGAAGACATTGTTAAATCATTACCCGGGTCAGATGTACTGCAGACATCATTTGAGCAGTCTGATACAGTGGTAGAGAAACTAGGAGATACAAAAGATGAAATTGTGCCCGATCAGTTGAATAAAATCACAGAAGCTCCAACAAACACATTTACAGATGTTGAAAGTCAAACAACAGAAGCCAATGACCCTCAACAGAACATAGAGGAAGAAGCTGAGGCTCCACAGGCAGGACAGCAGGAAAATCTTGGTCCCACTGAAGGTTATTCCAAGGAAGATGTATTTATGGTCACAGAAATGTCCTCCACAGAGGCTTTGCAACGTGGATCAGATGTCTCTGATTTAGATAATACAGATGTAAAGGATGAAGAGACATCAGCATTTCATCAAGGAGAGGAAGCCACTTCTACATCAGACCACCTCAAAATTGTAGATGATCAAATACACGATAGCACAGAAGAAAATGTGTGCAGCCAGGAAGCAGCACCTCTGAAAGAGGAAGAAGTGGAAGAAGAAGGAGAACCCGTTCAGCTCAGCACAGTTGCAGCTCCAGAAGTCAGGAGTGCTGAAGTTGAGTCAGAATCTCAATCAAATCAAGTCTCAGAGGATCAAAGTGACAGGGACCTGGAGCAAGATGTCAGTCCAGCAGAGGAAGTTGTTTCAGTCTTAGAAACAAATCAGGTCGTTGCCACCTCTGATAGTATCCAGGCAGAAGAGATTATGGAGGAAAGAACAACTGTCACCAGTGATACACATGAGGATGTTAAGGCTAAGCAGGATCAAATGTTAGATTCTGATGTGGAGCTTGATACTGTGGATGCTCAACTGTTAGCAACTGCTCCAAATGAGATTTCAATGGACACTTTAATTGTGTCTGAAGAGAGGTCCATTCCTGATCAGGAAGCAATGCCAGAACTAGAGGCAGATCGTAGTGAAGGGTTTCAGATAGGTGAAGGTCATGCACAAAGAGATTTCGTTGATGCTGAAGCAAGAACATCATTGCAAACTGGGAGCATCATTTTAGCCAACCAAGAAGAAGGAGATCTGGGCGATTCAAATTTGATATCCGCATCAGAGGAAATTACCACTCAAGTACAAGCAGAGGCCTCTACTGTGCCAACCATTTCAACATTAGAGCAGCATCTGCAGATAGCAGAAGATAAAGATGATGATGATCAACAGCATATAACGTCAGAATCGGGAGAAGACAAGGATCAAGTCAGTGCAGATACAGACAGTGTAAGTGATGGAGAAAAAGAAGGGAGCATTGTGGAGGAAGGAGTCTCACAGCAAAGTTTCAGTACCTCTGATGACCAAGATGAAGACATTGAAAGACAAGATGGATTGAGCACAAGTTCTCAATTGGAGGAAAATTTCATCTCAGATGACAACACCAGTAATGAAGAGAAAGATGAAGATGCTGTGGAGGAAACTGTGCCACCGGTACAGCAAAATATAAGCTCTTCAGATGACCAAGATGAAAAGAGTGCAAAAGAGAATGCATCAAGCACTAGTTCTCAAGTTGATGATACAGTAATGTCAGATGATAACATAAATGGTTCAGAAAAAGAGGAGGGAGAGACTCTGGAGGATGTGACATTACCCATACAGCAAAATGTTAGCATCACACACTCCCAAGATGAAGAGATTGAAGGAGAAGATGTATCAGGAAGAAGTTCTTCATTGCAGGATGAGCTTGTCGCAGGTGACGACATAGATACTGTTGAGACAGAGGATCATATTGCGGAGAAAGTGACATCACCCATACAGCCCCTTCTCAGTATCACGAATGATCAAGATGAAGAGATTGGAAGACTAGATGCAGGACATGCGACTTCCACAGTGGAGGATCAGCTCACCTCAGAAGATAACGCAGGAGATGGAGTGCAAGAGGTGTCACCTGTAGAGCAAACCCCTTTGAGCTCAGATGAAGACAGTGAAAGAGAATATGCATCCCACACAGTATCTCAAGTGGAGACAAAACTAATCTCAGATGTTGATGGAGAGAAAGAGGAGATAGAGGCTGCATCCATACATCAAAACATTTGCATTTCAGGTGACCAAGATGAAGACAGTGAAGAAGAAGGTGCGCCAGGCACAAGTTCTCACATACAGGAAGAAGGCATCAAGTCTAACCAGCTTTCAGAGGAGGAATCTCAGCCATTAGACACTGAATGTCTATCAGCAATGTCGAAGGTGACTGATACTCAAGAAATGCCTAGTGAAATTACTACACATCAAGTAAGGCAAGGGTTAGTCTCTTCTCAGACAGGTGAGATACCTCTGGATATTGCTGAGAGGCACATATTGGTGAGGGATGCTAACATGGAGGGTTTGGATGATGTGGTCACATCTTCAGGGGAACTGATATCATCCAGGGTGGCAACAGGACAGGTTTATATGTCCAGTGAAAATAAAGGGGTCAGTGGTAGCATACTGGCATCAGGACAGAGTGACGGTGGAGATCTCACTTTGGAAAAAGGCAATGTAGAGGCCACTTTTGACCCAGAAATTACAGAGGGGTTAGATGGAAGTACAACTCATGCATCTGGTCAGGTATTACCAATATCTTCTTCAGAGATTGAAGTGGTGGGCAAGACCATATCTTCGATGCTGGAAACAGACCCAGGCTCTGCAGAGATAGGAACTGCAAGTTTTATTGCAACAAGTGAGGTAGCTGAGGAAGCTGGTGACCTTGCTCAGAATGAGAGTGTGCACATAACTGGAGAAGCAGCAGAAATAGGCCCAAATACCGTGGGAAATGCTGGTTTGATAGATGTTGAGTCAAAAGCTTCCGATTACTTGCATGGGGCTGAGGCAAGTGGGGGTGAAGTGAGTCCTGATCAAACAGTCATTAGCCAAACTCGGAACAAATTCAGAAGGAGTAAAAAGGACTCCAGCAAGAAACCTCAAAGTCCAAAAAGCCCCTCTGGAAAGTGTAAGCAACAGTGATTGCTTTCAGTTTGAAGCCGCATGAACAACTATACAGTTACCCATAGCGTTAAATGTGGAAGTGGTATGTTCCCAGTTGAATTGGCAACTTTCTGCATCAAAGATCATATGAATTACATGGGTTTTGTGAAAGTAAATTTTCCAAAAATGGCAAGAGGGCTGTTAGAAGATATTGCACCCGCAATATGTGAGGCTTCTGTTTAGACCTTTGTCTTGTATGTACTGGATGCACTGATTGCTGAGCTGATTGATCAGTAAGGCCTTTACATCAGATGATTGCTTTGTGTTGCGGTGTTGATGCTGTGTGGGGCAGACAGGCAGAGAGAAACGCAAGTCACATGTGAAGGGCAACACACACTCAAAACACTCACCCCATATGTAAGTTATCTATAATCTCAGACATCCTGACCTAGACAGATTGGAGCAGTGGAGCAGGATACCACTCTGTTGTAGTTCCCAATGTTGATGTGTGTCAAAGTTGCAGGAAAGCACAAGTTTGTCACAGTATCTCCTTGGATTGGTGCAATTCAGCTCCTGTACCTTGAATCTGCGACCAGTGTTTTGCACTTGAGGGTTTTGTGCCACTAACTTTCCAGGGTCAAACCATGGACTAAGCATACTGAACACTCCAAATAACACAAAGAGCTTCTGAACATCAATGCCCAGGAATCATTAAGTTAAAGCTGGCTGACTGCACCCACAACTTTTATGTCAAACAGGTCTGTTGATACTGTACTCCACAGGACATGGACCGCGGAACGCATCTGAACAAGGGGGGGCCATAATTTCAAGCCACGCGGAGGGGGTGGGGGGGCATATGCATTGAAACAGACAATATTACTGATGTATTAAATAACGTTGCGGAGCACTTTTTTTATTCCGACGCCACACAGTCACATCTACAGTACATGCATGAACACGAACACATGCTTGCTCAGATTAACCCCTCTGATCCCACTCTAACATTCACACACAACAGGCCAAGCCTATTTACACATAAAAGCACAGATGAAACTATAGCAAACAACAAAGTACATCCAGTCCACAACCACAACCAAAACTCATCTTGCTGCCTTGAATCTAAATCAACATCATATTCATTATCATCACAAGTCAGCACTCATATCAGACTGATGTGCAGAGCCCCCCACACACACACACACCCAACAACAAAACAAGCGCAGCTGCGCGGTTACCGAAAAGTAACCAGAACGCTGAATTTCTGACCATTACCGCCCGCAACCGCTCTGTGTATGTCCACTCCCGCCCGCTCCCGCAAAACTCGCACAATAATAGAGATGCATTGATTTTGTGTCTTCTCCCGTCCCGCAGGAGAAAACATGTCATTTTATAGGCTATTAATAAAGAGATTCATGGGGTTGTTTGTTTCATTTCCCTGGTCTGCATGTCTTTTGACGCACCGGTCAGGAATAGCGCTCCTGTTTCGTTGTTTTCATTTAGTTTTTAATGAAATAAAGGTTGTTTCATATTCTATTCTCCTCCTCTGTATTTATTTAAATTTCTACCTTTATATAATCACGCAGTGACTGAAGTTAAGGCAGGCCCGGCACCAGGATGAAGTTACTGAGGGGACGGTTAAAAATTACGAGGGGGCATATCTTTATTATGCAACATAGGTTCACAGAGTGAGTTATAACGAGCACGCAGACGTGCGTAATTGTCGCGCGTAATGACAGCTCATCACCAGTGAAACACAATAAACTGCACGTCTTCTTTCATGTTTGTCTCATGACAGATGTAGCTGACAGACAGACAGACAGACAGGAGGAGCAAGCGGCAAATTGGTATGAAAGCTGGTTCAGGGCATATTCGTCCATTTATGAATAAATATGGAGTGGAAACGCTCATGCATGTGCACCAAAGTCCTGTGTTGACATCCTGTCGTTAGGCTACATCTTCTTCTTCTTCTTCTTTTTCTTCTTCTTCTACTGTTTAATGGGGACCCGCGGGACCCGGCGGGACCCAATCCCAATGCAGCCCTCTATGTCAGAGTACAAAAGTTACCCAGGCCATGGCCCCCCTGGCCCCCCCGGTTCCGCGGTCTATGCCACAGGATACCAAACAGACAAGAGTGGCAGAGGACCGAACAAAGCTGAGTTCAGCACACAGAAAATTTCTCAACAGCAGAATATCTTTTGGGTGGTCAGGGTTATTCCACAGTCTTCTTTAGTGAGAGTAGTTATATTTTTTCATTAGAGCGAGCTTATGTAACTTTTGCTAAACAGCGGACCTCTTTGACAGCAACTGACAATTACAGGAAAAGGGTAAATGCTAAATCACCACATCCTGTAGAGTAACAGCAGTATAAGTAAACAAGAGGCTCAAAGTCATTGAACCAACTCAGTGATGTCGATTACGCAGCAGTATCTTATGTCTGCTGACATAGGCTAACTTGATCCACTGTAACCTGCTGGTCAAACCAGACCAAGAAAGGCTATAACAGCAAAATCCCTGAGTGTGTTCAAGTGAGCAGCAATGGATCTTATCATTGTTATGATTTCAACTTCTGATTTGCAAGAGAATGAAGATGTCATCTCTGGTGTCAAAATGTCTCTGGTCTTACTTTCAAGGACAAATCACAAATTTAGGACCACGTACATTTGGGGTAAATTCTCATGTTTCGTGTCTTGTAAATTCATTAATAATTGAGTCATAATTAACAACGTAATTGTTTTGCAGTTTTGACTGCAAACATCTCTGATGAAAAAATAGCTTTTACATAATCCGAAAATATTTAGAAATTCATTAGAAGTGTTGTCTGTCATAAAAGATCTGTCAAGTTCCAATAATGTGTTAAGAATTTTGGTGTTGGGTTAACCCTTTTGCTTACAATTATTTGCATGTTGAGCCTTAAATATATTAAGGGTGGAGTCTGCAATTCTGGAGAACTGACATTTGAATTCAATGCCAAAACAAATACACCCCTCCCGTCAGCACTCCTTCAGAAGCGAGGTAATATCTTCTGTGTTATTGGTGTGTCATTACAATCATGGTCTAGCTCTACTCCTCATGGGCAAGGATGTGAAAATGGCAGAGTAGCTAGCATAGTGTTGTGTAGCTTGGTCCGAGCCACAAAGTTTTCTTCCCATTAACAGAGCCAGTGCTATGTATGAACACTGGATTTTTTTTTCAGCACACACAGAATGGACAGATAGTGGACTGTGACGAGATATTCACTGCATTTGATAAAAAGTGTATTCGAATTACAGACTGCACCTTTAATGCATAACTTTTTTTTTTTTATTATATAACCATGTTTGTGCTTGAGGCCTCTCTTCTTCCTTGCCCTAAGCTGAAATGTAACACGTTTAACTGGTTGAAACATGCTGGATTTGTAATGATATAAAATTGAATTTCCTCTCAGGGGGATTAATAAAGTATATAAAATAAATGAATAGAAAAAATATATATCTGTCTGCACCTATGTGGGAACAAGTGTGTTAAAGAAGTAGTTTGGTCATTTTATCTTCTTTTCAGTGGAAATATTACTCATACTTTACTCAAGAGAAATCACTTTTTTTTTTAATTAAAATACAATTTGGAATTGCTGAATATTGTCATTATTTCCTTTCACTTGGTCAATCTGACCTACAGTACACTGTGTGTTGTGTACATAGGTATGCTCTTTGTTTAGTGCTGCAAGAGTTTGTTTCATTTTCTTTAGTTTTCCTTTCAAAGCCAATATGATGAAGGAGTGGTGTACAGGTCTTAGAAGTTAGAAATTGAACCGAGTGCTCTCAGAGCAGAATGTTTATCTTGGATGTGAATCAGTTTCTTTGTTGCACATATGATTATTCTCAAGTGCTTTGATGAAAGAAATGCCTAGAATAGAATAGAATAGAATAGAATAGAATAGAATAGAATAGAATAGAACAGAAGACTTTATTGTCATTGTACATTGCACAACGAAATTACGTGTAGTACCCTTGGCAAGATAACAACACAATAAAAAGGACAGACAATATATAAATATAAATATAAAAAGACGCCTCCCTTCCCTACTTCCCACCCCCTTCTTGCTCGGACCAAACCCATTTTAGAACTCGACCTTTATTTTAATTTCAACTAAACACCTGTAAAGTTTTGTGACTGCATCTTGCACAATTGTGATGCAAATGCATTGACAAAACCTGTCAACACAGGCATATAAACACCTGGCAAAATACTCAGAACAGCTCCTGTGGTAGTTCCTGCTATATTAGGTGTCACCAGATGACATTTTGCCATGATGACACACACACAGACTCACAAAGTGAAAAACATTACAAGCAGTTGAGAAGTTGTCACAACTGGTAATAAATTATCCCTAACCTAAAGCTGAGTCGCTGACACAGTATCATCACTGACACAGATCCAGTGTCTCGGATCAGTGTCTCCTTATTTAACATGTACTTATATCATGTTCAGGCAGTTTGTGAAATGAAAAGATTGTTTCCCATGAAAGCAGGACAAGTCACAGACAACACGCATACCTGCTTAGTGGCGCAGGGAATTAGGTCCCCCAGAAAAGTTAACTCAATAAAAAAGTGTGATTCCCGCAAACGGTTCTTTAGCCTTGCTTTTATTCATTTAAAGTAGGTTGACATTTCAGTCTCAAAGACCTTTATCAAGACATAACACTCACGAATGACACAGTGCTCTAACAGCTCACAACTGAATGATGGTTCACAGCTGTGTAGGAGCTGTGTCCACAGTCACCTGCAGCAACTTATCAAATCTAGGTCATCACAACCCGGCAACTCCATACAACTTCTATGATAACTGAAAGCAGGGCCATAGCCAGGATTTTTGAAAGGTTGAGGTTATGAGTCCAAGCCCCCTAATGCAACCCTACTCCAAGAAACATTTTGACTAGAGTAGCAGGAACTTTCTTTAATCGTTTCTATTTTTAATTTTTTATTCATTCAGCGATATTAACCTTTCATTCATTTTCTGTAACCGCTTATCCTATTCATGGTCACAGGAGCCTATCCTAGCTGACTCTGAATGAGGGGCAGGGTGCACCCACTCGAGACCAAGGGCTGACGCATTAAGTCAGACAAATATTCATGCACACATTCACACCTATGGGTAATTTACAGTCCTCAATTAACTGAGCCTGCATGTTGTTGGGAGGAGGCCAAGAACCTGTAGAAACTCTACACTGACACAAGGAGAACATGCAAACTCCACACAGAAGGGTCCCTGAATCCTCTTGCCGTGAGGCGACAGTGCTAACCACTGCACCACCATGCTGCCCATTCAACTATAGTTTTTTTTAAAATGTCTTGTCAGCATCTAAACTCTGTTTTTCATTTCATTTTTTTTAAATAATTCAATTTTAAATATATTGAATCATTTGTAGATGTAGAATGCTGCCAAACCTCCACAGTGCTCTTTTGTCTACAGCCCTGAGAAAAAGTCTGAAAGCCACTAATAGCAATGATCTCATCTATTGTAACTGATACAGATGCTAGCTAATGCTAATGTTTACTAGCAAGAATTAATATAGTATAATTGAAGTTACTGTTACTACTTTAGAGATGGCAGCAACAAGGGAAAGTTTGTACTGAGTTAATTTAGGTTTGTTGCTGTTATGCTAAACATTTTAGTGATCTGATACTGCCTGTCTGTTAAGAAGAAGATAAACTTTATTAATCCCGGGGAAATTAAAAAATTTTTCACTCTGTTGTCGTATACACACAGGCCCGAAATACACACTCGTGCACAAACAGGACCTATACATGCATTAAATAGAGACACGTCAGAGTGAGGAGGCTGCCCATGGACAGGCATCACAAGCAAAGGCAAACTGGCACCTGTCCAGCCACCAGTCCACACTCAATATTTGGTCCAGACAGGGACT